GTCACATGAAAACTGACGAAATGACGAAATGAACATGCCGAGCTCAGCACTGGAAAAATCAGCCTTCCACCCTCATTCCAATATCTGGTCCCCTCAATAACCATTGAAAGATTGTCTTCTCTATAGTTTACATGTGTATGTGATTGTGTTTCTTTGTATTACTTACTTGTAATGATCTTTCGAAATGAAGTATCCTGAGCCACACTTGGTTCAGAATTCAAATCATGGCACCAAAGTAAATAATTGGAATGATGTTTCTGCTATTTCTCTCTTTCTTTGAAGACATTAAGAAGGTTACAGTTAAGCCGAATTTGGCTGAAAGATCCGACAAAAGATGAGGCATGACCTCAGGAGTCACCATCTGTAAGTTGTTTTTATTGTCTGACTCAATTTCCAACACATCAGTGTGATTCCAGGCAATCAGGGGTGTTTCAGAATCTCGGTCTGTCTTATTTCAAAGGAATTTTGAATTAAATGAATCTGCAAATTCGCAAAAAAAACAGACAGCTGCTGGGGCACAGGGCAAAAAAGTTGGCCAAATTTAGGCCTCAGACCTCGGGCTTCATATGAAAAATGACAGCTGGACTGTTGTAGTGCTTCTCTGTGTAGGACTCCAAGGTGCAGCCCGGAGAAGCCAATCTTATTAGTTTACACCAGAAGCCTCAGTAAGGGTTTCCAACTACTGAGCAGTTCACCTGAGGCAAGATAGCTTCTTTTTTTTTCAAAATGTACAAAAATCTAGCAGGGAAATTTCTCTCAGTTTCTGATCTTATCTTTAACTTTTGAGTCAGCGTGTCATCTGCGGCGGTATCTCTTGAATCTCTGATAACAACATGTTCTATTCTGAGAATATTGGGAAGAGTTGATTTTGGACCGAGTTCGGATATGTGTGTGTAAGTGTGAGTCTGTGTGTATCTGGTCTCCCCGTGGTCACTCTATTGGTCTTCTGAGTGGGTGGTCTGTTCCAAGAGAGGTGCACTGGAAACTTTATACCAGCACAGACACACACACAAACACACACGCACACACACAAAGGGAAACTGGGAATCACACCAACGCAGCACAGCGGAGGGTGGAGCAGGCAGGAGCCTTCTTCCAGATGTGTGACATTAATTTAGTTGATCCAAAACATGAACCGGTAGCTCCCACTCACTCATCACTACTGTGTTTGTGTGTACGTGTGTGTGTGTGTGTATGTTAGACAGTTATCTTACTATTTGTTATATTGCAGACTTTTAAAAAAAATACCTGCAAGTCTCTGTTTCCTGTACAGAGGGAATGAAGAGTTTTGATACGGTTGAAATCCAATTTCTCTTTAGTTTTATAATGAGGAACCGGCAGAGGAAGAAGATCAGGAAGAAGAGCTGTATGATTTAGAGCGAAGGAAAAGATGAGGAGTGGAGCAGGTTATGAGAACAGTCTTCACTCTGACCTACGGAGCAGCGCCCCTGGACTTTCATACAATCCTTTCCACCGGGAAGCAGAGGGGGATACGGTGCATGCAAAGACAAAGGGGGAGAGAGAAAAAAAATGAAATCAAATAAGACGAGCGGAGGAGGAGATGGAGAAGAGATGTAGGAGGACGGAAGTGGTTGATTGGGTCACCCCCAGAGATTCTTTTGTTTAGATTGTTCTGCATTTCACGTCTTTCACTCTCTCCTCTCCGCCTCCTTCTTTTTTTGACATCTGAGGTAGATTACAGCGGAGACCTCAGGTCACATTTATGACTTAAACCAAGAACATATGGTGTTGTGTGCATGTTTGAACATCCATTTCATTACAGTGGGATTCCCCTCCGGTCCCTGAGTGGCGGTCAGATTTATTTTCTTGTCCATTGTCTCTTGCTGGGATATCAAAGGACTATTGTTTGTTGATCAGCAAGGGTGCTGCAGGTTACTTGCAGGTCCTGGACAAGATCGCTTCGCCTCCCCGTTTTGCTTTCTCATCTCTCTTTCGTGGTACTTGCTTTTTAAGTATGTCAGCTTGACCATAGAGAATCCCAGAAACAGGATGTTCACTTCAACGCAAAATGTGTTTCGATTTTAAAACGTTAAGTGTGGTTATGTGTCGTTTGTTTTATTTAAGACCTGACAAGATATGTTTTAATGTCCCTCAGGCACCTCGATTTCTATCTGCGCAGCATGTGTTTGCTTTGATGTGGAACACGCAGAGAAACCAGCGCAGAACACATTTCCATCGCCATTACATGTTAGCACATTAAAGTAGAAAGCCTTATCTCCCATTCATTTCAGGAAAAAGCACATCTGTAAAAGTGTCAGTTGACTTTATTAGCATCGGCTTCACTCAGTTGAAGAAAAACAACTTTTGTCTTTGGAACGTTTATCATGGAAGGAAGAATTTTTTTTTTACAAAATCATTTGTTGGAAGGACAATATATAAAACAATGGCATTGAAACAGTTTTGACAAGAACACAAAATCAAAAGGAAGAAAAGGCTCAAATAATTTGGGATGCGGGGCATTTTCCTCATTTTGCCCTGTTGTTTACAAAATAAAAAAGGGGAAAGAAGTATTTACAGTGCATATATGTACATTAAGGCATTTTTGCTGGGGAAAAAAGTTGATCTGATACAACCCCCACTTCTACACAGTCAAATAAATAGACAGATTTACCATGATACATTACAGTGATATATTGTCTTTATGCTACCTGCAGTAAATGAACAGTTGTAGTTGCAGGCTGAATCACACCATCAAATGGACACCCGGAATTATAGTAAAGGACAGGTACACGCTTCTCTTTTTCCATATAGCATTCTACTTAATAACAGTAAATAACCCATTAAGACCAAATGCAAAAGAGATTGTAAATCCCACTCAAACCTAATGCTGACACATTCAAAACTATGTTTCTAAACTACGATTGTTTTGCATAAAAAATATTAACAATAAAATCAAAGCTATGGGTTCTTTACATAGGTTTAATTTAATCCATCTGCTCCTGAGACTGAGAAATTATGTCTTACAAGAGAGTTACTTTCTGACTACTTTTGGAATGCTTTTTAGATCTTAATGGGTTTACATAGTTCCTGGTTAATGAGATCAGTACAATTTCATTGATATATTGCTAAATTACTCAAATTACATCAAAGTCTTGAGCCACCCTTTGGATCTTTTTGAGTTGCCAGAAAAATGTGGTTATTCCCTCTGAGGTCACGCTATGGACAGAATACTCGTTCATCTATCGATGCCTTTTTAATTCCTGAATGATTATAGTCTATGTTAAGTAGCGTAACAAATATAGCATCCGCTACAATCTGCCAGGTTGAATGAAAGGTTCAAAATGAGTGACGAAAAAATATGCCAGATACATTTTTTTTAAAGACCTTCAGAAGCCCTGGAGACCTATTGCTCATACCTACTTTGAAGGTTACAAAAAAAAAAAAAAGCTGGCTCTATGGAAGGAAAATCTAAAGAAATTATAGGATGGATGAAGACTTCTGCTCAGTAATTGTACGTATCTCTAACAGCCACTGTGATTTAACCAGTTACGACAAGCTAACAATAAAATCACTTGGATGTCCCCCAAAAATTGAAAGAACAAAGTGAACCTGTCCTTTAACAGAGCGTTTGTCCATGTTGGATCGACCGATAAAGCCGAGTTGCTAGTTAGCGGTGTTCAGAGCCTACAGTCCAAAACCTTTAGAGAAAGGACCAGTTGTCACTTTTGTACAAAAGTTCCACACGATGTCGGGGTGTGTGTGAGGTGGCCACATCTGAGGTGTCGCCCAACAGCGACAATGGCAAACATCAAAACATTAAAGTGTTTCTTTTCTTCCAAATGGAGTCCAGAGATTTGATCAATTTGGAAATAAAAACAGCACCATGTGTGTTAAGAGGAACCACCCACACGAATCACAGCTCTGTTGCCACAGAACAGAAACACATGAACCAGAGAAGGAGGCACTTAATAAGGTGTTTGTAACGAAGGAAGATACTTTGGTTAAAAGATTTACAGGAAGTCAACTGTTTGAGAGCGACAGAGATATTTTTGAAGCTTCTTAATTCAGGCTTGTGCATCAAATACAGTCACTTCGGTTTTAACTGAGTGATCTCTAAGATGGGTTCTGCTTACATTTGTCTGGTAGGAATACCATCGAAAAAAAACAAACAAACCTAAATTATTCATCACGTAATTGCTGTTCTTGAGTATCCATCCACGTTCCTCTTCTGCACGCCTTCTCTCTATCAAATAAAAAAATCCTTCCATCCCTCCATCTCCACTCCACTCTCTTCTTTATCCTGCTTTATCCTCCACATCTCCAGAGTATAAATGCCTTCAATTTTTAATATCTGAACAGCAATGACTTGTGTGGCTTTCTCAGAGATCTAGTCCGATAGTGATAATGATTTCTCCAGTGGTGCATGAGAAACATGGGCCTAAAAGGCGGAGAATCGATTCTAGTGCAAACCTAAGGATTTGGTTAAAAACAAAATCTGGATATTCCAGTTATACAAACAAACAAACAAACAAACAAACAAACAAACCGATGAGTAAACATAGAATTTGTTTGGCTACTTTTCATGAACTTTTACATGACAGTCAGGACAGATGATGTCGCAATGGTTTCATTCCAGTCACACGAGACTCCAAACGGAGTGGAAACACATTTTGGGGCTACTGTTTGCTTTTTGCTCATCTGTCCTGATGACGTTTGTTTCTGACGTACTCCATCTACACCACGTATACGTGGAGGTTAAAGGAAACATCTTCCTGCTTTACAACCTCTTACTTGTCCCACTCTAAGTTAGAAGCTACAACGTTTTGTTCTTTCTTTTTAGGCTATCGTACTGTTGCGGATAGCAGCACCAGACGGAGGTGTGATGTCGGTGAAAGCCTCTCTGCGTCCGGCGGCTCGTGGAGACGCCGCCGCCGCCGCCGTGGGGGGGGGGGGGGGGGGCAGACGGCGCGAGTGCTTTAGCGTGGGTCGGGGTAGTGCTTTGAACGGGGGATCCCTTCAGCGTCTGTGCAAACGTTTCGCTAGTTCTGGTGTCTCTTCATGTGCAGGGCCAGGTGGTCGGAGCGCGAGAAGGAGCGCGAGCAGACGGCGCACTGGAAGGGCTTGGCGCCCGTGTGTTTCCGGTAGTGGCGCGTCAACTCGTCCGAGCGGGCGAAGCGCCAGTCGCAGCTGTCCCACGTACACCTGTACGGCTTCTCACCTGCACAACGGTGAGACAAGAGAGTCTTAGTGATTACAGTCGGAAGAATAGCAGCGGTGAATCAAACTTCTTTTCGTAAGCACGAGATCTCCAGCCCCCTCGATGACACACTAGAGCCGTGCGAATAGGCACGCAAACCATTTCCATGAAAAAACAAGCTAATCGCCTTTCTTAAATGATTCATACAGTTGGGTGGAGGAACTAGGACAACAGGCTCTACTGAAAACTCCAGTTGTCTGAGGGAGTATAGAGCCACGGCTCTGTCCCTGACAGCCGTTCGTCCAGCACCCCGACAGCTACGCTGAGCATTTTTCTCACGCCGGCTGATGCGCGTTGTCTGCCTTTTGCTTCTGGCATGTCTGATGAGTTTATCCTGTTTGCCTCTCCGTCTGTCATTCCTCACAACGGCCTCAGGCAGTTTTTGGAAAACGAGCGTGACCTCGCTCCTCCAGGGCCATTATAGTCTGAGGTGTGACACTCAGCGAGGGACCAAAAACCAGAGTAAATCCACTAGTGCAAACCAGAGTTTCAAGTGTTTGTTCCTCAGCATGCAAAAAAAAAAAAGATTCTGAACTTATCTCAGCACATGTCTCTCACACACCAAATAAAGTCCAAATATAACAAAGGTCCAGGTCTTTCTAGGTTAAATGAGCCTCGAAGTTTCAACAGCAATATCTACTATCAACGATACTGGCAATTGTGGGCCATTTGTAATCCACCTGTGAATCTAAGCTCTGCATCTCGCCTGAGACATTACTCTGGAGAAAAAGAACCAGGAAAGTCAGCAAAGGTGAGCACACATGGGTGGACCAATTAAAATCTTGCTTCATTTCGGCACAGAGCAGCAATTTGTTTTCCCTTCAAGCTCCGATGCAGCTCGGCTCAGAGGTTATTTAATGGGAACTGAAGCAGGATGACTGGCATGAGCGCATACAGAGCCCCGAGAGCCCAGAGGTGGGGGGGTGTGAAGAGGGTTCGAAACACGCCGGAGAGATGGTGCTAACGCAAGACGCGGCGAATGGAAAGTGTTGTAGTACAACTACTACTCGCTGATTGACATGACAACTTGTACCGTACCGAATCCAGACATGAAAAAAGTGAAAACCCTGACCAGGAAAAGTATGTCACCCAACCTGAAACCAAAGCAACACCGCAGTTGTATTTTACAGAGAGGGGGGGGGGAAATAACACAGAGCCCTCAAGCTTCTGAAGAATGTGGTCAGAAATATGTGCTACACCAGTATCCTCCAGGCCGAGGAGCATTGTGTTTGGTACAAAAACACAAAGAGAAGCTCCTCGATTCGAAAACGTCGACTGACGTCTGGATCTTTGCCTTGCAACTGTGGAATCCGTATTTTGACACAAACAAAATTTGGCGACCAGGTCTGCGGGTTATTAGCCCATCCGATTTTGAACCTCCTAACAAGTGCGGCGAGCTCTCCGGCGTTGCCAAAGCAACACAAAAAAATAACGCTGGGTTAAGTAACACTCAACTGAAACTGAACACAATGAGGAAAGACAATGAAAAGACGTTGAGGAAAAACAAAGACGAGTGTACTGTAGACACACACTGAAATGCACCCACCCACACACGCACGCACACACACACGCGCACACGGACAGACCGACACACTTACAATCAGGGTAATGGATGTTGATGGAGATTAGAGTGGGAACTCCCACAGGGACCCAAACGCATTAGGAATCATCTCATACAGATTACTGACAGGTGTGTGAGTGAGGACGTGTGTCTGTGTGTGTGTGTGTGTGTGTGTGTGCTCGTGCATCTCAGTGTGCATTGGAGCAGCTGAATAAAAGAAGTTGAATGAGTAAGGGACAAAGACAGATAGAAATGGGAGGGGGGGGGTCGGGGGTCCGGGGAGGCTTGAAGGTGGCACAAAAACAGAAGCGACGATGATTAGATGAATGAAAGGAAAAAGGGGGGGTGGT